TTTTGTGATTTTTTTTCTCTCAGGTGTATAAGAGGAATTTCATCTTCCGAAGAAAAGTCATGATCTATTTGGGAAGTACTAGAGACGTCATTATCACGATAACTTATTTCCGCAGGGGCTCGAAGTTGGTTTCCGGGTAGGTTATCTATGGAAAATGCATCCTCCTCACCTGAATCTTCATCAGTATAATTTCCAAATTCATTATCTGGCGGCAAAATTGTCAAGGTCTCTATGTTTTCCGCCATATCTTCGTCCTCATCTAGCATCGCCAAGGCTTCCTCCAAAGAAAAGCCTCTGTAATGGAAATGTTCATAGTCGTATAAATGCCCACCGTACTACATATAGGACGCTTCAAAAAAAAGGGTATAAAGTGACCTTTAGCCTACTTTGAATTGACTTTGACACATTCACATCCATAAATCAGATGTTTATGTACATATTTCAATATATAAACTGAAAACATTTGAACTCTGTAGCAATCAAAATTACTCACCGGGCAAAGCGTACACCATATTCGGCCATGATCACAAATTCGAGGGATCTAAATCGGAATAAATTCTCTTCACAACAGTTAGCGTTAGTTTTCTAGCTACATTCATAGTTACCGTTTCTTGCTTGACGGATGTAGGCAACACATAATATCCCTACTTGCGTAACTGGAGTGTGGGGTGCGTTTTTATGGGTGTACTATATGTAGTACAGTGGGCATATCTGGGTTAAATAGATGTAAAATTTTGCAAATTAATGTTTATTTAGAAATATAATGTTATGTTTGATTAACGAAACCTTGTACCCTTTACATACAGATTTCACAATATTTTTGTTATTGAATTTTTGTTGAGTGTAGTATCATGAGTTTTTGGTAGTTTCCTTATAATCGTATATTGGAATTATTATTCAGAAACCTCCCACGGGGTTTCTGATTCTTCATTCCACTATATTGCAAATGCACCACATTACGTTATCTACCAGACTAAAGTTATTTTCCCAATTATATTGTTTTATTTCTCACACTTGAACGAACCCAATCACCAATACACGCGAGGTGTTTGAATTGTTTTTCCTAATGCAAAATTAATTTTTGTTATTAGGAAAACCATTCAAAACAACCAAATAAAAATCAAATTCAAGCGGATAACCAAATGGAAATGGTATTTACCATTTTGGGTTGGTATTTACCAATCCGTTCAAGCGAGTGTAGTTATAAGTTTGGTTATAAGATCCGTGACGTCACGAATCAGCTCTTATATGTCATAGTTATCACCGCAAAATTGTGGTATTTACCCAACTCAAGAGTAGTTTTATATTTCTGGTTATTATTTGAAATGTGACAAGTTAGAATTTTGCAGGGTATTGGATATTGTTATTGTACTTCAGCTTCATTTTTGAGAAAAATGATACAGGCTGACTTCAGTTTTACCATAAAGTGGAGCACCTTATTAGTTATACTCATTACGGTTGTTGGTGACACTTTAAATGTAGTTCCTATGCTTAACAAAATATCCTGTGTAGCCATATACCACAAGAATATTAAAATATGGCCATATAAACTCACTGGATGATGTCCAGCTGTATACGGTTTTGCTAATATCTTTTTTCATCGCTTTTTCATCATTTCTGCTAAATCAATAAATCTTTTCTTTGACATGCGGAAAAATTTAGAGAATTAAAAGTTATCATAGCTACAAAGCCATGGTTCCATCATTTAAAAAAAATCTGAAAAAAACATTTCTCCCATGAACATTATGAAAGGTTTCTTATTTAAACTTTCCATATACGAAAAAGCACCGATTATTAAGTGATAATAAAAATAATCAGAGATTATATACGCGCTTTTCTAAAATAAACAACTTGCAACAAAACCGCGGTTAAAACCAACGCGTTCAAGCGATTCGTGTAACTGACGTCATCAACCCGTGTGCCATCTTGAACCATATTATAACCGCGGCACATAACACAGAAATTTTTGTTATTCGCTTGGATTTGATTAAAGATGACAATGAGTGACATATGGGTGAGAAGTAGGCAACCACGAGAGCACCGTCGTATTTCATTGTAAAAAACATGGCGGCATATGTCGAATTGTTCTGAGTAGGCACGCGTTCTTTCTGTGTCATAATTGTCCTTTCACCACGAAAACATGGCGAAATTCGTTTTGCTGGTTGAATTACACTGTTCAAATTTCAGCGGATAACCAAATGAAAATGGTATTTACCATTTTGGGTTGGTATTTACCGATCCGTTCAAGCGAGTGCGGTTATCAGTTTGGTTGTAAGATCCGTGACGTCATGAATCAGCTGTTATATGTCATAGTTATCACCGCAAAATTGTGGTATTTACCCAACTCGGGAGTAAATAGGTATATTCTTTAATTCACCGGTTGATTCCATCACTGATGGATCCGGTGAAATCATGGTTGACAGCTGATGTGATGACGTCAGCAACCGGTTCCGTTGAATAGTCGTTAATAAAAAGACGCATTTTTAGCCTTCAGGTTGCTGTCATATGAGAAAACCTAAGCTTTCTTTTATCGTAAATGGATACTTGTTAATTTGAAGACCGTATCATTTAAAATCATTATGGAAATGTACGCAGCAGTTGGTATTATCGTGGGACGTTTGTTAAGCGATTCGAGTGATGATTCGGATGAAGACGTTATCCAGCGGAGAGAATTTGCGCTCCGAGAATCAATATAAGAACTATAAATCGGAAAACCAAGAAATTATCAGATATCCACAATCTCAAATCACTATACGAGGCATTGATTTGAGATCGTCGATGCTTCCCGAATAAGAACCATCGATATGGATTTTCTGAGAGCATTCCTATATTCATACAGGAATAAAAACAGAACAAAATCAGCAAATCGACATTTTCGGACTTACGAGGTATTGATTTGAGATCGTCGATATGCATAATTCGAAACAAATTGACTTGCTTTCAGATGCTCTGTTTATTTCAAATTGTGTTGAAAAAAAAACATTAAATTTCACGCGACTCCTATGCTGCTAACGTCATTCTTTCCTTCTTCCATTTTTTCACACAAAACTGTAGTTGTCAAAAACTGATAAAATGTAGAGGTTAGAATATCGTGGATCAACCGAACCCGAACGTCGGTGGATGCTGTTGGCACCGGTGGCATATCCACCATCAATATAGAGACAAGTTTGATGTACAATCGGTCGTTCCAGCGGAAATTAAAGGACGCATACTTGGCTAACCGGTTGCACCGGTAGCTGAACTGGTGAATTAAAGAATATACCTGTTTTATATTTCTGGTTATTATTTGAAATGTGACAAGTTAGAATTTTGCCGGGTATTGGATATTGTTATTGTACTTTAGCTTTATTTTTGGGAAACTTGATATGGACGGACTTCAGTTTTTGCATATAGTGGAGCACCTTATTAGTTATACTCATTACTGTTGTTGGGGACACTTTAAATCTATGCTTAACAAAGTATAGATTTGTAGCCATATACCACAAGAATATTAAAATATGGCCATATAAACTCACTGGATGATGTCCAGCTGTATACGGTTTTGCTAATATCTTTTTTCATCGCTTTTTCATCATTTCTGCTAAATCAATAAATCTTTTCTTTGGCATGCGGAAAACTTTGGAGAATTGCGAGTAATCATAGCTACAAAGCTATGGTTCCATCATTAAAAAAAAACTTCTGAAAAAAAATAAACATTTCTCCCATGAATATTATGAAAGCTTTCTTATTTAAACTTTCCATACACTGTTGTAGACGAAAAAGCTCCGATTATTAAGTGATAATAAAAATAATCAGAGATTATATACGCGCTTTTCTAAAATAAACAACGTGCAACAAAACCGCGGTTAAAACCAAGTTTGTCATTTGCGTATGTCAGCCTCTGCTTGTTGTCCTGTTCCTTGAAATGAATATACAACTGTAATGGGGTCAACTCATCAGAGAACAGTGCTTCCCGACATGTAGGGCATTGGGGGATGATAACATCACTTTGTGTTGCAGTGAATTTGATACATTTTAGATTCCCTTTCTGTTAATTGACTTTTACTTACTTCTAATTGTGTAAGGCATGAACTCGAACTGTCTGACAGAAATGTATATTTATCTTGATAATGAGTCTGGACCACGAAATCTGACTTAGAATAGCAGTGACCGTGTTCAATTGTACTTACATCTGTCAAGTCTTTGGTACTTCTTTTGGCAGGCAATGTACATGTCTTGCTGCAGAAGTTGAAGGAGAATCACAAATGCTTGCTGAGAAACCAACAGATCATTCCTTCAATGAAAGCAATATCAGAATGACTAATGGGTTGACTTAGACTTTGACCAACATCTTTTGGAATTGCAAGACAGTTCAAATGTGAATAGGGATCCTGAAGGAAAACATGATCAGACATTTCGAAGTGGTCTTCGCAAACATAGAAGTTATCAGATTTTGTACTGGAAGCTAATCCACAGGCATTGTACCATAATTGCCTTTGACTGGGATTTTTTGGGAATCGATGAAATGTCTTGGATGGGGGATATGAATTACTTACATTCAATATATATTTGTTTTTGCAATAAGGATATAGGCACTGTCGTGTCCATTTCTTGCTTGTTTTTGCCATAGAAGTATCAAAAAGATTCAAGTGCAAAATTATAAATGCCCTGAGCAACTTTACAATATTATCAGAATCTATGTCATGTAGGTACTCACCTGTATTTTTTTAACCCACTCCAATCTTGAAACATGAGTGACAGAAACTGGAACTGACAATCGTTTCTTGAAACACACAATTTATAAAAAAGTAATGTAGGCACAGAGGAACCGAGTGGAGTGAGATAATTTTACTCAGGTTTTTTTTCAAGGTAGACATAAACGCATGATTAATTAAGGGTTTGATGACATATTCTAAAGTCCAATAAATATCAAAAGTAAAACTGCTCTATTTCATTATCATAGCTTACCTATATTAATTATTTCGGAGCAGCATTGTTCCAAGTTCCAAAAGACTCCACACGTCGGCACATTTTTGGTTGTAAAGGAAAAATGTCAGCTTGAAGGCGGTGATGTTGAAGAAAGACGTATGAAAGACAAGTGACACTATCAATATTGACAGTGTTGTCGGCCGTTTTTGCACCACGAAAAACGTTGCCAGATTTCCTGTGTTGCGCCTTGTCAGGCCTCAGTTGACCCCACGTGCTATAAACTAAGTGGCACTCTGCAACCAATAATGCATATTTCTATGTCGTATCGTTCAGATATTCCTTCATAGATGGATGCTTTGCATCACGCTTACACCGACCCAAGTGAGCAAACGTGGAATGACTGTTTGCACCCTAAAAACTCCCTAGTATGCAAGTTGACATCTTATAGGTTTTTTTGACGTTTTGTAGGTTTTTTACATGATACCCATGCCGGCATGTATCTTGCAAACTAGGTAGTTTTTAGGGCGCAAACAGTCATTCCACGTTTGCTCACTAGGATCGTTGTGAACTTCCATCTAAGGAGGAATCACTCAACTAAACTACACGCATTATTGGTTGCATATGTTTTGTGAGGCCAAATGGTCCTTATCTGTAGTTTTTATCTCTGAGAAGAAAGTTGGTTGAATAGCAAGATCGCATCTGGATGATTTATGTGAATTGGTCTGAATGCGTATAAAATCAGTGATATTTGGTGTGTGTGAAAATCATTACTAAATATGCTGCCAATGGAGTATATCTGTTGGCTGTGCCCGACGGGTTATTTTTATGTTGTGCTGTCTGAAGAGAGGTTATGTTCAAAGTTATAAATTACGAAAAATTGAGGAGAATTACGGGAAATCATCACCGCGCTCGCGTTGTGTATAATTACTGTTAGCATGTATATATGGCTTGTATTACGACAGTGTACAGTGAATATAATTGTTTCTTATCTCTCTCATATTTGAAATTCATCAATTTGTATGTTTAATTTCCAGAATGGATAGGAAAAAGTGGATGCGCAACTAATTTGTAGCTTTGAATCTCAATTAAGTGTATTTGAGACAAGAACCCAATGTAATTATCATCAACACATACAACTTACAGCTTAGACCTCCAGTAATGCCATCTCAGAAGCACATTTTACATCACATTAGAGCCAAAGATTGATAACAAGACTCATGACGTTTAGGCAACACGTACAACTAAGTGCAAAGATAACATCTTGTAGAAAAACCTACATAATGGTATCTCCACGTAAGGAGAATGATCTAATGAATGATGTTATACACACAAAATCTGCTAAAAAGATGAAGAGTTCGTCTATCTCAAAACAGCCAGTCACAGCAAGCGTTTCTAGGAACGCGAGTAGCACGATAACTAGGCATCAGGTGACACTTGCTGTCGAGCAAGCGCAGTCAGCGAATAGTACTTCTGCTCCAGCGGTACCTCAACCGTCCGCTGAGCATGCAACCGAGGATGATGCAAGTGGTAGTCACTGACATTTAGTTGAATGAAAGCGCAAGAGAAACAACCGGCGTAACCTGGTTATTGGGAATGGTTCCTTTGATGGTCCAGTTAAAGGTGTCGAAAAAACTGTATCTTTACGTGTTAGCCGTATTCACCCGAAAACTAAATTGGGTGATATGGAAGACATGGTGAAGAACATTTTTCCGGAGGCCACTGTTGAAATTATCACTTCGAAACAGCCTGATATTTATTCCTCTTTCAAAATAACGACTATACAATCAATTTTTAAAAAAGCACTAGATATTTCAATATGGCCAAAGAATATGTGCAATAACCGTTTTTTATAAAAAGGAGAAATTTACAAATATCAACTTAGCTGTCCAGCCTGATTTAGTATTTTTAAATGTTCAGTGTCTAAATTTTGATAAAGCTGATGAGTTTCTCGTTATGTTATCAAACTATGACGAAGTGAAATTCCTCTGTTTAACTGAAACGTGGTCTACATTTGAATCGATTGATTATATTGTTATAAATAATTTTCAGTTGGTCAGTTCTTTCTGAAGAACACAGTACAAGGGCGGTGGTGTAGCTATATACTATGAACATTATGTTATGGCAAAATCTTATATTTCTCAATTTTCGATTGAAAAACACATCGAGTTTTGCGCAATACAGCACTCTGATCCTGGAATGCAAAACATCCTTATTTTATCCTACAGGTCTCCCTCAGGGGACATGAAAATATTCCAAAACAATTTGAATAAATTTTATTTACAAACCAAATATTAATATCGTTCTTTGCGGGGATTTCAGTGTAGACTTGTACAATCATAGCACTGACAGTGACAATTTAATAAACGTCCTATCTGAATTTGGATTGCATTCCGAGATAGGATGGCCTACTAGAGTTGGTAAGACTTCTATCACAACGATTGACAAGGTTTTTACTAATTTCGGTTATAGTTGTCTGAGCTGTGTAGTGGACAATGTTATATCGGATCACAGGACAGTACTCTTGAAAATGATGGAAAACAGGATTTTAACTCTCACTCCATACAAAATTTTGCACTAGACCTAAGCAATGAAAACTGGTCCACATTGTATAATTTGCCGGATATCAACACCGCATTCGATTATCTCTTACAAGGGTTCAATTACCACTTCCAAAGACATATTCCGTCAAAAAAACCAGCAAGTATTAACAATAAAAAGGCATTGGCGAGTGAAAGGGTTAAAAGATCCAGTTCACATTTGCGGGAACAGCATGTATTGGCAACGATTTTTCGTGAAAATAAGCAAATATCTGGAGGCCAAAAACCAGCATCAAAGACAGATTAAAGAAACAAAAAGGGCCTATTAGTAGTAGATAGTAGGTGAACTGAGTGGTAAAAATAAAACAAAAAAAACGATGTACTGGATGAAAATGGGCAAAAAATGCCCCTACAAATCATAGAGAAAACATCCAGGAATATTAAAACAGTTCCAAACTACAACGATGCCATTAAAGAACACATGATTCTATATCCATTTTCGGAAGAAGAATTCTTTAATCTGATCGACAAAAGGTTAAAAAACAAACGTTCTTCAGGTGCTGACGAAATTACAAATTTCCTGGTTAAAAACGTTATGGTATATATTGTTAAGCCCTTTGTTTTTCTGATCAATCTGTCTTTCTGTACTGGATCTTTTCCAGATAGCTTAAAAATGGGAAAATATAACTCTCATACACAAGAAGGGAAAAACTACTAACGCAAGACCGGTGACGTCTCCCTGTTGTTCTTCCAAAATTTTCGAATACTGTTTCTTGAATCGGTTGACGCTGTTCCTTGAAAGAAATGAGGTGCTAACATCCAACCTACATGGTTTCAGTAACGGTAGGTCAACACTAACAGCATCTCATTCTTTCATCAACACGTTAGTTCAGTACATTGAGGCAGGAGAGTGGCCTGTTGGTATCTTTTGTGATCTAAGCAGGGCATTCGATTATGTCAACCATGATATGTTATTGCTTACATTGGATAATTCAGCCCTGCCCTTCAGAGAGAGCTCAACATTCTTGGGACTGCACCTTGATAAGTCTTGAAATCGTGCTTACGGTCAACAACTTAGCTCAGGTCAGAAGCTAATTTTAACTTAGGTAACAAAATCGCCAGTTCGAAAGCAACTCTTATGTTGCATACAGAAAAGAATGGTGGTTTGACAAAGACATAAGTCAACCGTGTTGTCCTATGGAAAGCGCGGGACTGTAACTTCTTCGGTGTATATGTTTTGTGGCTTAGTCAATTGCTTTGAGTTTACATTTTTTGGGTTTATATGTTTTGTGAGAGCCATTTTGTATTTGGCATTGTATGTGTTCGGTGGTACTGTGGATTGTTTCAGATTTGACTACGTTTTTTTATATAATTCTTGTACTTCTACAAATCGCGTTTATACAGCTATCTTCCAAAAACCGGTGGCGAAATAAGATTGTTTAACTGCTAGGTAAGAGTTTAACTAATTATTGGCAAATCTCAGCTTTACATTACACGTAGCAACGAATACTTACCCATTCCTTCCGGACAAACATGGGTCCGTTTTATAGGGACCCGATATCTTTACCTTTATTACATATTTAAACACATTTATGATACCTCTACTGATTTTTCAACTAAATCTGTAGGAATATCTCAATACTCAGAACGATCATGACTATACCGGCATTTTCACTAGACTCGCAACTCTGTGGTCCTTAGAAAGTCCTAACATTTACTTAGGTAATTCTCTAACTTAGCAATACCAGCCATTTTTGTTTCTCCGTCCAAATAGGCACTAGGTTTGAGTTGTAAATGAGATCAAAAATGCTGGCAAACGGGTTATAGTCTAATCATATTAGACGAAATACCCCAGGTTTGCGAAATAATTGTAAAGTCTGATTTTATTGATGCAAGTTGTTCAAGGCGGTATTCAAAACATGGACGCATAAAATAGGTACACCAATTTTTGTGGGAAAACTTTTAATTCGACAACAAAGAATGAGAAAACGTGTTTTTGGGGATTCAATCAAGTGTGTTGGCAGGAGCGAAAAGACTCTTCGAATAAGATTTTTAGGTATTTATGAGACCTACAAAATGAAACCAGACGTAAAAAGATCGGTCTAATTGTAAAGAAGTTATGCGACGACAATTTCAAGCAGCTACTTGAAATTCTTCATATCTGTAGGCTTCATACTTCTAAGTAACCACAACAAAATTGGAGTCGATTGGTCAAGTAGTCTGAGAATTTCTAATTGTTTATCCCAAAACACCTGTCTTCCTGTCATCACTACTAGTTTACTGTGCAATATTACAGGGTTCGTTCAAAGGGCATTTTATTGCAAAATATAGGAGTTTACCTTGCCGACATAAATCACAAACCATTCCGAAAGATAATTGGTGTTTTTATGTGAAAAACGAAGGGTTAGCTTTTTTTCTTCTATCCAAATTCAAACATTTCGTATTTGTGAGTAATTGAATAGATTTGCTACAATATTCAAAGAACATAGGTTATTATACACATTTTAAAACAAAGCGGATGTGTCCCATCACCTTTTGTTGTGACAAAAACTGTTTTTTTCAAGA